TTAAACAAACAAATTGATCTTCCATGAAGAAGCTCCCATCAAGAATAAATCTCTCAAGCCAGGCTCTGAATTGTAGTGGTTAAACACTGTACAGAGAGAGCTAGATCCCAGATGGCTGACTGTGGTTCGAACTCTGGCCCCAGCAATTTGAAAACCATGCCAGATACACATGCCTGTGTGCAAAATCCTGATGGGATAAGAAATTCGAGGAAAAAGGATTGTGGCATGACCATGCCCCAATGGGGGAAGGAGTGCTTTCTTTTTCTCTTTCTCTCTCAAATATATAATCCCCTGTACAATAAAGTATTTAATTACTTATTTAACTTTACTTATTATCATCATCATTATTATTTAACTTGCTATAGGGCTCATGCACTCACCAGAGAGAGAAGGAAAGTGAGAAAACAAGCCACTAGGTTCAGGCTCAAATAGCCATCAGCCAAGTGAGTGTCCAGTGCCTTAGCCACCACATCACCTGCTGGCCCCACAATAACATTTTTTAGAAAAGATAATAAATATCTCTCTTCTGAGAATACTGAAATCCTTAAATTCAGGGCCTACATATTATAGATTTTGATATCTTTTCACAAAACATATTAAATGCTTAATGTTTGATGAACAAATGTGTGGTGACATACAGTCTTATTGTTTGGAGCCATCTTTTCTAAGAGGTAAAATCTCCTTGACAGCAAAGATCAGGTCATCATTTCACATTTTCATAGCATCTAGCAAGTGTCTTAACACTACATACCAAAATATTAGTTTGTTAAAGTAGCATATGCCATCAGGTTGATTATCTTGATTGACTAAATCTAACATTATTAAAACATTTCTCCTGTCTAAATAAATAACTATATGTCATGCCTTCCATCTTGACTTACAGTCTCTCCTCACAAGCCTTACTTCTACAGAAAAGAACACCACACCCATTATCCCAAGCCACCCTTGAACCCAATAAAGGGAACTACCATCACTATGGTTATACTCATTTACCTGCCAACAAGACCAGCAATTAGTTTCGATTTTGGCAGTGATAGCCCTCATAAAATACATTAGTGTCTTTGCTCATTACTCAAGATAGAAAATTAGGAAATGATTACACTGTATTTCATTTTGTCAGTGAAAATAACTAAGATGCTATAAGTATAAAATTGAGTGGTCTTGCAAGCATCTCCTATGTATGATCTAATGATGTCTAGTGAACTCCCACACTCCCATCCTTTTCTGGGACAGCCAATAACTTGCCAATCAGAAATAGAAATAAGTCTCCCCTACTACATTCCTACCATACCACCTCTTCCCAAGTATTATAACTTTGGTGTATTGTAGTTTCTCTTCCATTCTCTAGCCCAATTCATTTGTCTATCACTCATATCTAAGCTAATTCAACTTCGGAGAGTATTTCCTCACATTTAAGCACATAGCTTCATATGTCTTTCTCTTTTCTCACTCCTATTATTTTATCTACCTAAAACATCTCTTGATTTCCTCTCTAAATAGAAGTACTTACTAAGGTACGAGGCATCTGTGTCAACAATTTAAAAGGCCCAATGTGATTTAAAGGCCGAATGTGGTTTGAATACTGGTATTAATTGTAAAGAAAAAGTAATATATCTACATAACGGGAAAAAGGTGGTTTTAGGGTACAAGTAAACAATGAACCAAAACTTGCCATGTTTAGAGTTATAAAACAGTCAAGATGTCTTTTAAATTCTATTGCCAGGAGCAATAAATAACCCTGTTTTTCCTCAATCACCATTCAGTATAAAGTAGCATTTCTTGGGACCAGCAGATAGCTTAATAGTTACATCACTGGACTCCTACATAGTCAGCCATGGTCTGTGTCTCAGATCCAGTGGATTAAAACACACCTCATGCATGCATATGTGTGCATGCCCAAAGTCCCAAAGGAGACTAGAGGAAAAGGGATTGCGGTGTGGCCATCCTCCCCTAAGGGGTGGTGATTTCTTGCTTTTTGTCTCTCTGTCTCTCTGTGGCTTTGCAGTGAATGCATGTGCCCTATAGCAAAAATCTCTCTCTAAATACATAGCATTTTTTTTCTCATGTTCTTGTTTAATTTTCTGTGTACTAGCATCACAACTTTGATTTGTATGACCTCCATTGTATAATGTCTCATTTTAATTCCACAGTATTTCTGCTTCATTGTAGGTTAAATTTGCTCTTTGGAGTAATCTAAACTCAAATTATAAACTTTTATATCCCATAATTTAAACTGGTCTAAAAAGTAACATAATAATTCTATATCCATAGTCTTGGCTTTTATCTTCAAGAGGCCCAAGAAAATACTTCATCTTGGGTTTTAGAACCAGCTGGAAACATTTTAATTAAGGTCAAAGGTAGTTTTTGTTAAGTGAGCAAGCACAGCACATGCAGCACAAGTAGAATTCACTCACAACCAGGGCTGGGTGCCCCATTAGTTGGTTTCTTATTGATAGACTGGAACAAGACACTTTAAAGCAGGGACTTTTACTATTCTGTAGCATAAATAGCACGCTGTGTCTTGCTTTCCGATAGGGGGAAACCTCTTTTTTAAATTCTTAAGTTTGTATTTAACTTTACAAAAAGAAATGGAAAGAAATAAAAGGTTGTGGGTCCAGCTGCTACGGCAGGCCCAGCTAAGATGCTAAGACCATAGGTCCACAGGGGAAAGCAGGAAATGGTGTGCACCGTAATCCGTGACTCAAGGTTGAGGCAACAGAATCCCAACACAACAAGATTCCATCTTTTATTTAGAGAGACAGAGATTTTGCTAAAGGGCACGTGCGCTCACTGGAGAGAGAGAGAGAGAAAGTAAGAAATCACCCCCTATGGGGATGGTCACAGTGCAATCCCTTCTCCTTCATTCTCCTCTCGGGATCTTGAGCACACACGCACATACACCTGGTGTGAGTTCTCAGTCACTGGGTCTGTGACTCAAACTATAGTCGACTACGTGGGAGTCCAGAGACATAAACATTACGCCATCTGCTAATCCTGAGATTCCATCTTTTAAAAGAAATTAATTTAAAATGAAAGAGGCCACGTACCACAGTCCAAGGTTTTCCCCAAGTCATCTCTAGACTAAGACTTGAATTATTCCTGTGGTAAATAACAACCTAGTGCTTTCTTTCCGACATAACTAAAATTTCAAGTCAATGAAAGACAAATGTTATTATGGAAAACAGTAAGGAGATTTCTCCAAAACTAAAAATAGAACTGCTGCATCAACCAACAATCCCACTACCGGTTTATATCCAAAGGAAAGGAAACCAGCATGTCGTAAAGATATTTGCACCCAGGGCCAGCAGGTGGTGTGGTGGTTAAGCTACCAAACTTTCACATGGCCAACTGTGGTTTGAGTCCTGGACACAGTGGCTTTTAAAACAACCCGGGGGGGGGGGGGGTCAGTGAGTGGAGTAGTGGTTGGGGAACTGGACTCACACATGGTCAACAACAGTTCAAGTCCCAGACCTGGCAGTTTGCTTTCTCACTTTCCCTCTCCTTCCCTCTCTGACTCTCTCTCTGTTCTAATAATAATTAATAAAATTAAGTTAACATAATTATAAAATAAAAGAAAATCACACCAGGTGTCTGCGCATGTGTTCCCAAAATTCTGAGAGGGGAATGAAGTAGAAGAGATTGCCGTGTGACCATCCCCTCTGGAGGGTGATTTCTCACTTTCCCTCTCACAGTCTCTCTCCAGCTAGTTAGTACACCTGTCCTAAGGCAAAAACCTTTAAGGAAAAAATATATTTGCATCCTAATGTTTATTGCAGTGCTGTTCGCAATAGGCAATATAGGAAATCAACCTAGGTACCCATCAACAGATGAATGGATGAAGAAAATGTGGTGACATATACCATGGAATACTCTTTAGTCATTAAGAAGAAGAAATTCCTGTCATTTGAGGTAACAAGTAAAACTGGAGGACATTATGTTAAGGAAAGTAAGTCCGGACAAAAAGGGAAATACCACTTGTCCTCACTCACAGGTTAAATTGAAAAGGATGACCTCAAAGCAGCAGAGAGTTGAAGAATGACCATTACAGGCTGGGGACAGTGAGGGGGGCAGGGCATAGAATGAAGATGCTTAATGAAAAATTCTAGCTAGGTAAGAAGAACAATTTCTGCTACAAAATGGTAACAGTAATTTAGTATACAGCTTAGAGTAAAGAGAATTTTGAATATTCTTAACACAAATGACAAATGGTTGAGAGAGCGGATATACTAATTGCTCTGATTTAATCTGTAGGCAGTGTATTCTTGTACTGAAAACTCACATCCTACGGATGAGTATGTACAGGTTATGTCGCTAAACGAATACAAGGTACATGCAAGTAAACCACATGATGTAACTACCACAACGTTTGATTCAATATTGTTCTAGGGTCAACATTAAACATCAAACGTTTCTAGACAGAACCCAAAGAAGCCTTGACAACAGCAAAGAACATGAGGATTGGGAGGATCTGGAGACACTCCCCTGCCCCAAGGGTTGGGGTTAAACTTTCAAAGGTCAGCAAATAGGACTAGCAGGTGGTGTGATGGTTAAGGCGCTGGACACTCCCACATGGTTGACCACGGTTTGAGTCCCTGACCTGGTGGCTTGCATTCTCACCACTTTCTCTTTCTCTAGCTGATCAAATTGGAAAATAATAATAATAAATAAGGTTAAATAAAATTCTTTTTTATAAAAAGACTTGGATTCAGAACCCATGCGGATGCAAATTCTGTAAACGGGCTTATACCTTCAGAGTACTGTCAAAAATTGATAGCTTAAAACTTCAGTTTGGAGGGGCAGAGCGGGTACCTTCCCACATTTGTAAATCAGCTCCCTCTGGGGCTCATTTTTCTTTTGAGCTGCAGAACAGAAGCTGAGCGCGACGTTTGTCCCGGGAATGTACCTGGGGCGGGCAGCGAGGCGGGAGGGGGCGGATAGGGGGAGAACCTTGGAGTTGCGCGAGGTGGGGGGAGATCAAGGCGCCAGGACCCGGCACTCACCCCCAGGGAGCTCGGGCTGAATAGGCCGCCACCTCAGGGCTCGCTCGCTCAAAACCACGTCGCAGCTGCCCCTCCCGATCTCGAAGATGCCCCGGAGCAGAATCTGCTCCGCGGCTGTCTCGGTCTGCTGCGGGGGCCCTAACAGCGCTGAGGGTACAGCAGCCGCCTTCGGGGACGCCTCTTCCTCCCGGCCGCCCTCCAGGGCGAGGACCCGGCTCCCACGCCTCCCCCGGGGCATGGCAGTGTCGCAGGCTGGGCCCCAGCCAGGGGTCCGGGGAGGCTTTCGGGGCAGGAGGGGGAGGCCGCGGCC